AATTTGTTGCACAATGTTGATTCCATTTATTATTGGAATTGTCGTGACACCTGCGTTTGAAACGCTCAATGGGTACTAGATTAGATATGTTAACGAGAACCACGCAAATGCATATTCAAATATCATTTGTACATTAATGACACTCCTATAAATAGTCTTATTATATAATAGAGGTATTCATTTTTTTCTAGGCTCTGTTCATTTGCCTTAGAATACATAAATAAATAAATATTTCAGGACATATCTTTACACAACGTTAACTAGTCCCAAACTAAGCGAGGCTTATACTATGGATACTAGGTAACTTATAAACATACTTAAACATACTTTTCTTTGTAAATAAATACACATTATAGATGTATAAATACCTAGGCACTAGAAAAACACTATGATCATCACACAATATTTTTCCGGTAGTGGGGATCGAACCCACACCCTCTGGCGCAGGAGACAGGTCCTGTATCCACCGCGCCAAGCGGGGCGCAAAACATAAACTTACGATAGTATTAATAGCTAATATATTCATAAGTTAGTCGCAGTAGCCTAGTTGTTAAGCTGTACGCTTCAATGCCGAAGGTTGTGGATTCGATTCCTGCAAGGGACAAGTATTTTTGTATGACCCATAGACTAATGCTCCGAATCTTAGTGTTTTGACACGCAGGCGGTCGGTCTTAAAACGTAATCAATAAAATCATACCGACCGTTAACAACCGTCCTCTCCTTTATGGGGTAAGGACAGGAGAAAGAATTAATCCTACATAAGATTTAAGAATAGCTGTAGTTTTTACGACGACTATAATACCATTTTCATTACCTCCGGATGGTTCCAAGCATCAGTTAATGTCTTGGCCTTGTGATGAAATAAGAGGTATGACCTCAACAATCCCCCCCCCCCCCCCCCGCCCCAGTTTCATGCTCGCATGTACACATGCGTGCCTCCAGGTAGGGTCTAAAAGGCTCTCAAAATTCTGTTCTATCCACGAGCCATGTCGCTGAGAAAGTTTCACATAGTCCATGGTCTGATCTCGCAGATGTTTTATTTAATTTTTTAATTTAATTTATGTATATTTTATACTAGCTGCTGCCCGCGACTACGTCTGCGTAGAATAGGCTGAAGGCGTAAGACATAAAATATGTATATAAATTATAGCCTATGTCTTATTCTGATGTATAAGCTATATTATTGTAAAGTTTCATTAAAATCCATTCAGTAGTATTTGCTTGGAAGAGTAACAAACATCCATACATACACACAAACTTTCGCCTTTATAATATTAGTAACGATATATCACTTTTAAGCTACAAAGTAACTACGAGAAAAGCTGTCTAATCCTGTGTTATTTTCAGAATAACACTGAAAAACATTTTAAATTCATTTCACCGATGCAAAAAGAAATTTTGCCAGGTTTTTTTCGAAATGTTCCTATATAACACATCTGTACGACTTTGAAACGTTCTTCTCACAAACGAACATGATTCAAAGGCGTCTCATAAAACCGTGATCCGCGTTAAGAACAGTGCAAACGAAGCGTTATTAAATAAACAATAATGTATTCGTTAGAATTATCAACGGTAACTTTTAGACAGATGAAAGAAATGTGTTTTATCGTTTGTTGCATATCGCGCGTGTAAATCGTTTTATTGTTGATTTACTAGTTTCTTTAGATTTTATTTTGGACTATATCGGAATATACAGGTTTGAAATGTGTTTTTTTTTCATGTGAGAAAGTGGCAAACGAGCTGGTGGTTCACCTGATGTTAAGTAATATTCATGGACATTTGCAACAGCTTTAGGGTTGCAGATACGTTGCCACCTTCTAATTAAGTGGGCCCCAGCTACCTCACTCACCAGACGAAACGAAGAAATGTAACATTTCTACAACACGCCGCTCTTCTGTGACGTCGTGGTACTTACCCGGATGGACCTGCCCATTCGTGCAACCCTAGAAGTAACTGTGTTGCCCTACCACTGGAAACGATATAAGTTTACTTCTTTCATTTTATTTCGTATTATTCCAATATACATAGTATTTGGACCGTAGTGAATTTCCTCCAAATTTCTTTTGTTTCGTCACCGATTTAAAAAAAAAAAACATTGAGATATTTTAGCATCGTAGATTCTTCGACTCGAAGCATTGTGGTTTTCGACAGTTGGTAGACCGTAAATGTTTAATAGCTTACTGATTTCGAGCATGTGGTTATTTATAGTGTACTACATAAGCTTCTAAACAGATTTAATTAACTGAGTGCAGTGATAACCGTTTTTAAAGCAAAACAAAGTTTCAATACTGACTTTTTATTTATGTCAGGTGTCATTTAAAAAACGTTGTCCTTACTGAATAAACTAAAGTGTATTTAGTGACATTTTATATACACGAGAGACATTTTATATACAGATCAGAAGAATAAACCATGTCTTTTAAACACTTTCCCATCTGAGGGCGATATCTTATTAGAAGGAAACTGTAAGTTTCAATACTCTGATTGAATAAATAGTTTTATTTTTACACTTTCAAATTCAGTAAAGCCTTATAAACAGAGGCGGCCTCATAAATTATTTACCACTTTTAAAAAGCAACACTAAATACGTTAAAATAAAAAACAAACTATTGGTATAAGAAAAAGTATAATTACCTCATAATGCCTGCCATTTGCCGCCATTAACGAATGCCATCGACTCCATTACTAACACTTCTAACGTCAATCTCTGAATTTGCCGGCCCTAAACGTAAATGGCGCGTTCACCGGTCGTTTCCTTACTTAGCGGTAAATACGTAACGATGAGCCTAAATTATTCGCCTTCGTGGATATCTCGGCCTTTATATTTAATCATTCCATAAAAACTGTTATTCATTTAACGCAACAGCGCATTGAAATAGAAAAATGTCAGATTTTGGCGGGAAACATCTGTCTCTCAGAGTAGAATTTCGTTGTTTTTTTTGTGCTTTAATGGCGGCAACTCAATTTCGTTGACAGCCTAAAAATTTGTTTTGTTATAATAGCATTGTAATATCGTAGTATAAAAATTAGGAATATTTTTGATATGTTTATTTATTTATTTATTTAAGCTTCATTGTTAAACCTTAAGCTAAAGGCTACAATGGGCGGACTTAATGCCTAATGGCATTCTCTACCAGCTCTATGTTATGCTAATTGAAACGTCATTTCAAATATTACACATTTTTGTATTGTGCAGAGACCAAGTAATGCTTTGAACTTTATTAAGTTTGATATTTACATTAACAAATCATGATAAAATTTACAAGTGGAACTTTTTCCAAAGCTGGAAAAAGTTCCACTTATAAACGTCGGATTAAATAAAAAATAATTATCCACACTATGGTTACCATTCAATCGCTAAATCCTAAACTAAACTGAATGCTTAACTTTTTTATTCAACCTATCTATATTAGTTTTTCTCGTTCGACTTTCGTAACTTTATAATATGGCTATAAATAAATCCGTGCCCATTTGATCTGGATCAAGTAGGCTTATCTTAAAATCTATCGCGCGCCTGCCCATATTAGAACCGACTACATATCGACACTTGTATTTTTAATTCGTCCAACTTGCTCTAAATTCAGACGATAAATCACTATATGCATTTGCGCACTAGTAGTACCGAATTAACCTCTATATTGTCTAATATCGCGAACATTTACCAAATGTAGGCATCTAAAGCAGTTCTTAAAACACATAAAAGCCCTGGCGACTTCGACCTCAATAAGCGAATTAATCCTCACCTCTTTTCTCAGTGATTAAGAAAATTAAATAATTATAACTATATATTATAACTTAAAACAAACCAATAAAACTGTAAAGTTTATTATGACCAACCATGTAATATATAATATGTATAAGCTTTACTTTTTCAGGTGTCAATCCACAAAAACTATATCTCGACCAGCGACAGATAAATAAAACAACGCACTCCTTAACGCTAAAGCATGTATTACATAAATATTATCAAAATTATATATTTTTTTACAAATAGGTAACACTGTATGTACAAACACTTAACGTTACGTCCATTTACTTATGTACATAACAATCTATGATAAATGCATTGGCAAAAAAGAGTTAAATAACAATCAGTCTTGCGTCCTCAATGAAGACTGAAGATTATTCTTGGAAAGTCGCCCAGTGGCGCCGAATTTAGTTTCGCGCCTTTTTTTTTAAATCGTTGCTTCGTTATCTGTGCCCGATTTGCCGCGAAGGGCGATTTTTTAATCTCTTTCTTGCACACTTCGTTCGTAATCCAATGCGATTTTCTTTAATTTCGTCATCAAATATATTAATGGATCGATTAGGCCATTGTTGAAAAAAAAGCACTATTAAATAAATTATATCGTAAAAAATGGTTCATTTAAAAGTTAGTTTGTGACTGATAAACAATACTTTACGTGAACACTATCATTTTTAGATATAAATAAACGATTCCCTACCAACCGAAATGTTCACACTGGAATTATTATGTTTTCGAAATCACAGTTACTTTTCCTTAGATCTTTTTAAATTACTTGATACGTAATAAAGTAAATATCATCATAATGAGACTAGAGTTTAATACAAAGGTAATTGTTTAATTTATTAGTCATAATGACTTGTCTCTTTTAACGCATATTAAATGGCAAAGAATATAAAAAAAATAATAAGACACGCTGTGCTGACGTTCCGCAAATTAGTTTTCTTTGAGAATTTGTCAGTGATATTTACTTAATTCGCATATGTTTTACACTATCTGTGATTATATTACCGATTATGAATTGGGGCTTTTGTTCTATTTTAATTCTTTCTCTTTTAGCCACATTTCCTTTTCCAAGTGTAATTATAAGTTTAGAGTTCTACTTGTTTTCAGGTTATGAATGTGTATGATCATAAATGATGTACGACTTTAAGCCTCTTAAGGGATGACACGATTGATAAAAGGAAATGACGTTTGCTGTCATCTGTCATCTGTCATTTGTCATAATATGTCGAGGCGGGAGCGGCGCGAATCACGAGCTGACAGCGGTAACGGCGGGGGCGCGCTCGTTTGTGACGGTGAGGGTGGTGGGTGGCGACGCGATGGCGGTGGTGTCGGCTGTGGTAGCGGCGGGGCTGGTGGTAGCGGTGGCGGTCGCGTTCTGCGCCATCGCCACCGCTATCGGCGTGGCGATCGGCTGCACTTGGGACTGCTGGAAATTGGGGTAGTGGACTCCCACCACCTCGTCGTAGCTGGGCGGCGCCATTGCCTCTGCAATTTGAGAAATCTTGTTTTCACAACTGTTTCGCCTGTCCGATGTGTATAAGGTACAAATGTAAGGTATAAAAGGACAAAGTAAGGCTATGGGTACTGCTAGCCCACCGTTAGGCAAAGGCCTCATGAACAGATTGACATAGTCCACCATGCATCACAACTGGACGGCCGGCGGACTTGTTTTGAACACCCAGTTTTTTTTACTTGTAAAATATCTTACTTTAGTGATTATCGCTGTCACCACAAATCTTCAACTGGCGGGTTGCAAATGCGTTACCTCACTCACTTACTTATAATTAAGAAATTGTAGTGCACATGATTTATATGAAATATACATAGACATACATAGGTGTCATATTTGTAAGGTTGAAGTACATCGATGTAACTATTCACGAGAACAGTTTGTCAGAGAATAATTTATGTTATTGCACTTTATTACTGGATTAAATAAATAAAAAAAAAACTTCCACTTCACGCTAGTCTTCTGCGAGGCCGTGGTACTTCCCCGGACGAGCCTGCCCATTCGTGCAACAGCGTAAGCTTCGTGGCCCTACCACGGTGGGATTTCTTTAATACACTTCAACGGGAGTGCTCACCATATTTGGGTGGTGGTGGCAAATTGGCGGGGCTCACGTAGACAGCTGGGTCCGCCTCGGGTATAGAAGGTCTCGCCCGAGACCCCAGGTACTGCCGCCTCTGCTGCGGACTGCGCGTCTTTTGCCCTGCAATAGAAAAACAAGGAGTTTTAGCGACAACCAACTCTTACGCACATCTCATTGATGAATACGTATATAGGTATGCGCCTAACTATGTAAGCATTCGGTGACTGGATACGGTACTGTACTAAAATTTTGTACTCGACCACTACTTTTGGAGAACTACTCGTAGTTTTGTTTTTAAGTTCCCAAAGTATCGAATATATTATGATATTACACAGATCCGGAACACAAGCCGTGAAGCGATACGCAATAAATACTTGAATTTGCATTTGAGTATCGGTTATTAATTAGAGAGTTGAAAACCAAAAGAAACGTTAAAGTATGTATGTTTTCTCGATGAAAATATTTGCTTTAAATCGGTCAAGATAAAATGCAAAATTCGTTCCAATAGAGATTATAAATTTAGTGATTATTATATAGATAGTTTGTGTTTGATAATGTGGACTGAAATCGACGAATTAAAAAGTTTGCAAGAGGATAAACATGAAATGTTTTATTCGCAAATATTTTGTACAGTGGAGTGCGTGAATGTACTGTGAATATTTGTTTTAGAAATCACACAATGACACAGTGACAATTCTCTGATTAGGTATTACTTTAACAGCCCTGTAGTCAAGGGCTCATAGAATAGGACTAAGGTGCCCCCTGCCTGTCCTAAAAGGCGACTAAAAGGGGACAAGGATTGGCAGCAGCACGAAGTAGTCTCTGGCTGCTGCAAGATGGTGAGAGAATCGGGGAAGGTTTATCCTTCTCCGAGGCGTGCTCGCGCAGTACCGAGGGACAGCAGTTGGGTTCCGTAGGAGACCCCGGCGTCCCTCCAAACGTACAGAAGATAGCCAACGAGGGTTTGTAATGGCTTAAAACCCCACATAACCCTTGATTTCTTTTGAAAATTTCCCACTCGATGCCGAAAAATAAAAGGTATTTAGTTTAAAACAAAACTCAAAGGAAACTACCGTTAAACTAGAGATAAATTGCTCATCATCGACAAGTAGTCATGTTGAAATTTATCAATAATTATGAAACTGATTCATATTTTGTGATTCACGTAACTTTCGTGAATATAACGATGATACACATTATATAGATAACGTAAGATATTAATGTTAAATGTACAGTTGTATAACAAATTCCGAAAAAGTAATCGCTGACTCCAATAAATCGAGATAACCTATAGAGTGTTTTCGCAGATTTCTTTTGTTCGATTTAATCGATAAAGCATCGATCGCCTAACCTACATTAACGTTATTGTTGTAAATAACGATAAAAACTGTTTACAAGTATCTGTTCTTACTTCAATATAACAGTGTTAACAAGTGCTGAACTACCTTCAAACAAACTTTTCACAACGGACCCGTGCAGACGTTGTCCTGTGCACACCTCTTAACCTACCAAAACGCCAAAACTACTAAACCGTTTTAAATGAAATTTGGTACACAGATAGTCTACAGCCTGAGAAAGGACATAGGCAATTTTTTAATTGGAAAAGGGGCTATAAAGGGTTCTTGAAGCAAAATCAAAAAAATCAAAATCATTTATTCATCGAAATAAGAAATATACATTTCATTTATCGATTGTCATTTGTTAAAACTACCACCGTTTCGTAATGAGGTTCCTCTAACGGAGAAGAAACAGGCGAAAGAAACTCCGTAGGTATCCTCTTTTTTGTCAATTTTTTTTTCTCAAGCAAATACATTGTTAAACAGAACATTTTTTTAGATACAGCTTAGGAGCGATCATCTCATTCCCAGCGGAAAGATATTTATTTAAGGGCTTCAACGCGAGCGAAGCCGCGGGCGAAAAGTTAGTAACTTATATATAAAAAGATACTTAAAAAAACTTATGACCACGCGTAGTGGGTAATGAAACTGCCTCTCGCGCCAGAGCCTGTGGGTTCGATCCCCACTACTGGAAAAATATTGTGTGATGAATATAGTTTTTTCAGTGTCTGGGTGATTTATATGTGTATAATATGTATTTACTTACAAAAGAAAAGTATGTTTATCAGTTATCTCGTAACCACAATACAAGCGTTGCTTACTCTGGGACTAGAGAACGTTGTGTAAAAATTTTAACGTATTCTAAAATTTTTATTTATATACTTTTAGGTCTAAACCAATTGTAAATCTAAACCACTCTTGAACATACACAAAAAATGTCATCTAAATCGATCCAGCAGCTTAGGAGCAGTACAGTCACGCACGCACGCACGGACACACACACACAAAGACACACACACACAAGAATTGTTTTCCACTCCGTCTACCACATTCAGCAGACGAAACGCGAAAGTATTAGACTTCCACTTTTCGCTGGTCTTCTGTGAGGGCGTGGTACTTACCCGGACGAGCCAGCCCATTCGTGCAACAGCCGAGGCTGCTGCGTGGCCCTACCACCGTTAAACGGTTGGCGACGCACCTAGAACTCTACGTGTATTGCAAATGTCCGGCGGTTATCTCTTAACATCAGGTCAGCTCGTTTGCCACATTGTCACATATTAAGAGCCAATGGATCTTACGGTGGCCGACGTGAATGATTTTTGCTACAAGGTAAGCTGATATTAAATGAAAATATGTATGAATACCAACGTGCATATTAATGCTGAATAAATCCAAATTAGTTAACCCGTGACCTACATTAGAGCTTGGAGCCTGAATTGGATGAGGGAATCTCTTCAGTTCGACTCTGGTGATATTGGCGAATCTAGGGCTATTTTGCAGGGTGGGGCTGGGTCCCTGCTACAAAAAAAATCGAACACTGTAGAACTGTTCAACAAAGCAACAAATTTTGATGCGACTTTCAACAATAGATATTATTCAAGTGGAAGGTTTACAAGTAGCATATACGCATATTATAGTAGAGAAAATTCAAGAAATTCAATACCGGGGATTGCACCTCGCTCACCTCGCTCAGTTCAATATGCTTTTGGCGATGAAGGACACTGAGTGTCACGGCCTATTTACGAATCGATAACGTAAAATCCTGGGGTGGGCTAATCAGAGCTTGGGGTGGGCACGGAATTGGATGAGGGAATCTCTTCAGTTCCACTCTAGTGATAAAGAAAACTCACCCAACAATAGCAGCATTCGCATCACAGTAAGACTGAACACGATAATCAACAAAGCTACGAAGCAGCACACGATAAATATGATCACGTCCTGCAGTGTCTCCGTTATGACCTCATCGGTCTTTTCATCGTTATCTGTTGAGTACTCAACACTAGGCACGGTAAACGGCATTTTAGGTCAATGTAATCCACCAATACAATCCGATTTCAATAGTTCACTGATACAGTCCCACCACTACACTGTTACATATTGAAACTGTTTGTGCGCCAAGAAACTGGTGAGTTGAGCGATTATTAAAAGAAATTAATAACACCGATAGAAGAACGTAAACAAATGGCGGCGGTTTAATGCACAATGTATCGACGGCACGGATTTCCGTTGACTTATATCAACGCGATAAAGTGAAATCGGAACAGATAATACAACAATTATGACAATGGGTACCCTCAATTACCCGCGTGACTTTCGTGCGTAATCGTCTTAGTCTAGATTATCATAATAAGGATACAAAGTGTCCCGTTTCCCTTGGAAATGCACTTAAAAATTTTCCGTTAGCACTGAAACCGATAGGAATTTTAGGCCGCGTAGAAGCAGTAGCTTTCGTAGCAACTGTAACCGCCGTAGGCATTGTAGTAAACGTAGTATCTGTAGCTTTCGTAGACACTGTAGGCTTACTGTAAATTTATCTTTTTTACGGTTTTGTGTCCAATACAGCTACATGTTTGTTAAGAGTGAAAGAGAAAACATCATAAAAAAAACAATACGGTTTGCTTAATGATGGACTCATTTCGTAATTATGACATAACGGGCGTCAACGATCTCTCTTAACCCATTCTAGACCGACCACGAAACGGAACATATAATTATGAACTAAATATTGTTGTATTTACGCGAAAACTATACACGGTTAAATGAAACTGTTTTACAGATTTTATTGCGTTATATTTTAATTTTAAATTCCAGAAATCTCGAACACTTTATAACGGGCACTTTTATCTCTGCCCCATGACCTGAGCGCTAAACATTTAATGAATGGTAAATTAATGTTGGGCTTGATGGTTAATCTAAATATATAAAACAGAGTAAACTAGAAATTCTACTAAACTCTACATCAACCAGAAGTTGGTATAACTAGCAATGAAGGAAGTATATTTAACGACTCACGAGTTGTGTCAAGAGATCAAAGATTGAATGATGGAGATCAATAAAAGAAAACCGGCCAAGCGCGAGTCGGACTCGCGCACGTAGAGTTCCGTACCATTATCTACAAAAACGGCAAAAAATCAGTCTTTAGTCTGTCTTTAGGGTTGTATAAATCTTTGTAGGAGTTTCATTAACTACGGTTGGTTTAGACCAAGTGAGTGAATGAATGAACATTTTTATTTAGTTCCAAAAAATAGCACACGTCAATAACTTAATGGTCATTCATGTTCGTTCTGTCATTCATTCAAAGACAATGACACAATAACTACTAATAATAAGACAAATCTGGTACAAACTATAAATATGAACCATTGAACGGAATAAAAAGGGTCGAATTACCAGGTCCGAACACTATCGTAGCAAACAGAGAAAGAAAACAAAATCAATACGAACATCAAATATAGCTCTACGATAACACCAAAGTCGCAAGTCATAATACATAAACTGTGTACACTGTACAGGGAGGCTTTTCTAAGTGTATCCATTTTAGTCAATAATAATGTTATATAAAAAATGATATATATTTTAAATCACTCGTAAGTAATTAATTACATTCATTTGAACTTATCTCAAAAAGTGCGTGATTTATACGCAACTCGTTTATTTTACGCGCGATCATTCATAACTAACACACACACAATTTCGTTTGTGTGCGTGAACAGTGAAATGTAGGTATTTATGAATGACTACCGCGTTGTCAACAAGTTCTGTTTTAGGGAATAGAATGGTAATTTTGTTGAAAAAAAAAGTTTGTTTTTATTTCAACAAACGATTATAGTACCGAGTCTGAACATCCTGTGTAAATTTGGGCACCTTTAAAAAAGTCTCCCTGTATAAATACAGTGTACATAGAGTGAACCACCATGAAATCTAGTGTACGTGGTGTGATTTGACCAATCTCGTAAATACTAAAAAATATACTACTTTTACGTATATACAGCTAAAACGCTGTCTTAAATCGTTTGTTATTAAATCTCAGGTCAATGGGATTATAAGAATTCCTGAGCAGTTTGCAATGACCCAATGTTCTTTTATTCCAAATTTAAGAGAACAGGGAGTAAGTAATAGAACAATCACCTACCTTAGAACATATCTCGCGCTTATCTCCAAAAGAAGTGTTTTACAATCTTAAAAGAGATCTCTCCGCTCAGATAAGGCAAAAAAAAAAAAAAAAAAAAGAAAAGGCATTTATGAATCAATCTTGATAGAAATGTAACATTATATAATGAAATAGGCTCGCAAGTTTACCTTTATGTGAAGTTAGCATCGTGTTTAATAAACATGAAATTTAGGTACATATGTAATAGTGAGATAGCTTTGTATATAATTTCTCAAATGTGTTTTTATCAGTACTCCATAACTGCCATAGTTATGTTGCTATCATTCAATTATACAAATTGCCATCTATTGGCAATTTGTGTAATTGAAAGATAGCAACGGCTATATCTTCAAAGTAAGATAATTTTCATTGGATAATACGTATTTATACAGTACTATTTATTTCAATTACTAAAACGCTGCCGTCCACAGACTTCGGTAACAACGAACCGTCATCTAACAAGTATATTTTTATCGACAACAAGTATAATTTTCAACAAAAAAAAACCGACCTCATACCGGAAACTAAAATCATTTTTTATAACTATAACATTTGAGGATTGCCTTTAATCTCTCTGGGATGCCATCATCAAATCCAGGTATCCTTATCATGGTACCACCCTTGGGATATCTAACAAAAAAATAAACATCAAAATCGGTTCATAAACGACGAAGTTATCCGCGAACACACATAAAAAAATATATATACGGTCGAATTGAGAAAGCACCTTTTTTTTTGAAGTCGGTTAAAAACAAATCCGACTCCAACTCACTTTTCAGAATTTCTAAAATCTGATTCACAGAATACGCAGTTCTGGGGTGACAAACATATACACCCGAAAACACCCGACATAACATTATCGAAGCGACGATCGCTTGAAATGAATCGACGATAAAAGTCATGTGACTCGTCCACGCGATAATTTCAAATTCAAAATATCTCTATTGAAATAAACGCTTGCACGTTTTTATGAAACGTCGATTATACATAAAAATCGGTGCATACGTTCGTAATGAACTTTGATGTTTTAATAATAAAGATGAAGCATGCCCATATAGCGCGCCATTTAAAAGATGTTCCGATTTACATTACATGATATATAAAAGTGAATGTGACAGATGATATAGAAAGTATGATACAGGAAGGGACAGCAGTCTATGGAATTGCAATCTAATTACACCAATTGACGTAATTTGAGTGCCTCAGATTCGGTGCGCTGGTGTCGTGTCTACCTCGTACCTATGTGTATATAATATCTTTGGTTTAATATATAAGTCTTGTTGTAATATCTAGCTGATGGCATGTATCTACCACTCCCACAGACCTGAGAATTGCTCTTAACCTCTAATTACCATATTAAGGGAGCCGTGACAGCCCGATAGTGTGTGGGCGCTCGCCTTTAATTCAATGTAGCAGTCTTATTTTAGCATACGTGAGCATCAACACCACACATTGGCGTCGTCGGGATATTCCGTGCAATGACAACCTTACGTACTCAGCGAAATGATCCTTAAACAGAAGAACATGAGCATCCAGAGGAGCAACATGGCCACAAGCACGGCGGTGTACCATAACGCCATGTCGGTCAAGCCGAAATAGTTCGAATCTTCTACGCCTTTCTGCTCATAATCGTCTGGCTCCTCGAACTCGTAGCTCGGGTGTCCGAACGGGGGTGGCATGTTGGATCAAACGTTGGCGCACTAAGAGCCGTTTGTTCGGCAAACGACCTGTGCTAAGCACTGACACTCCACTCGCAACAAATTGCTCGGGCAAATTATTGGAATGTTGGACGAATTCACTTGTCGCTAAACCTCATCTTTCCGTTCTCACTCAACGAATGCACCTAGTTTAGTGGGCGATAAGCCGCTTTCGAGTTTCGACATATCGAACGGTCATCGAGATATATCCGATACGAATCCAATAACGCAATCTAGTTTATCTTACTTTATTGACGAATAGTTAAAAATTGTAATGTACTAGATAATAAATAGACTTTTTGTTATGAAATTGTTTATTTATAGGATGGATCTTCTTCTTACAGTCCTAGGGATAAGGTAGCGACTGTTAGAGATGAGCCTATATTTTGATTCAAAGAAATCTTGATTTGTCTTCTTTAAATGGTAGACTTAGGTATATGTATGATTGCCGGTATAAGACGACATAACCATAGACATATTTTGACGTGAAAATGAAAGTAAAATAAGAGTGAAAATGAAAGTAAAATAAGAAAATATTCGGAGGTTGTTAAATTGTTGTCAAGGCTGTGATAAGGTCGTCCGGGGCAGTCCCTCACCTTAATAGTAGACCGGTGTGAATTGGAAGTGTTATACTACAGCTCTAACGTCTGGTGAGTGAGGTAGCCAGGGTCCATTTTATTAAAAGGTGGCAACACATTTGCAACCCTACGGGTGTTGCAAATGTTCACGGGCCGCGGTTATGACTTAGCTTCAGGTGAGCCGCCATCCTGCCACCTTCTCACGTAATAAAGGCATCTGCAATCGTTGCCGCGACTGTTGATACTATGAGTTTAACTATGGGTTGATTGCGAACTTATTAATAAAACATTTCCCTAGAGAACCATTATACTGTTAAATCAGTAGAATAAAAACCCTTTGCAGTTAAAATGAAACTGCAATATCGGCGGAGTCCTTGCAAAATTCCGAGCAGCCGCATCGAAGGCCGTTTATATCAAAATTGTACAAGATGCCGTAGAGTGGTTAATTGTATACACACGAACCAATGCTGAATAAAACTGTTTTATGGGTTTTACCGCGTTTTGCTTTTAATGCTGAAAAATGGCTTAAATTGGAAGTATTTTTTTTATATGCATTCAGCCGCCCATGGACATTTGCAACATCCGTAGAGTTGCAGATGCGCTTACACCAAAAAAGCACATTTTTCCTTACTATCTATATAGAATACTATTCAGTTTGCTTGTTTAAGTACAGACTCAACAATATATAATCCACTGATGGGCATAGAAGCTTGGAATTCCACTGTGCACTTTTCCCTATGTACACATCCAAAATAACAAAATTAAAAACAGTATCGGTACAGACACTAGTAAGTTTAAATGTGAGAAAAACCTATTACATTAATAATATAAAAAGGAACGTGTGTAAAGTAACAGTGCCATCTAGTGACGAACAGATAAACCTAAATTATCTTCCAAAGCTGATAAACGACAGATTCGGTAGCGGAAATACAATGGTACCCGTCCTAACATTCATAATTCACGAAACAGTTATAAAAGGAACCTGTCTGGAATTTTATTAAAAATATTACATATAAAAATGGCTACCGTATTACTAGTATAAATAAAAATCAGTTATAGAGAAACGTAAGGATATATGCCATACCTATGTTTACTCGTACTACACATTATTTAGGAGACTATTTTTAGGACTTTCATTAAATTTATTCAAATTTCCGACACTTCTAACACTGCATATTTTTATGTGGCTTTAAATTCCAAATGGGGAGTTTATTAAATTTAAAACAAACGCAATAGAATCAGTAAAAAAAACCTTCACTTGAGATTAAAGTTTTTTAATATGAAAAGTCGGCGATTACCACCGCACTTGGACATCAAAAACATCTGAGGGGTTTTTAAATGTGTTGACAGCCCTTAATAAAGTGCGCACAGATTACCTTACTCACCAGACGAAACGCAGAAGTGTAACACTTCCGCTTAAAGCCGATATTCTGTGAGGATATGATACTTCCCGGAAGAGGCTGCCCATTGGTGCAACAACAGAAGGTACCTAGTAAGGTATACACTTAAACAAAACACACTGGACAAGATAGACATTCAATGTAAACAGTAAAAGTTAGTTACCATACGACGATATTTTGATGCACATTATGACGAAGGACATAACCAAAATCGTAGACAGTATCGAGATGTAAGCTATCGTCGCTACTGTCATTTCACCGGCAGCGGTGTGGTTGAATCCACTTAAATCCGGAGCCATTTTGATACGCACTAATCGCACCAGTTAACCCGACCCCTCCAACTAACCACGGAATGTCACTTTGACTGTATTAAGCGAAAATTTTAAAAATAGCCGTAAAGGTTTAAAACTGTTTAATTAAAAAACAATCAAAACCACAAAACTTCACTTTGACCGTATTAAACAAAAGTTAAAAAAAAGAGTATAACCATTGAGCTTGAAGACTGTTTAGTTAAATAAAAAACAATCAAAACTCCGTTCGAATTTCAAACTTCACTGCACTGTTTGGGAAAAAACAGGAGAAGGTTTTCTTCTTCAAAATGGGATGCGATAAATTCTGCAGACTACATGTTTCGAAAATCAAAAGCGGACATATAATTTTTTAGGTCTTTCATTCACTACCGGCCAGCTGTTTTGAGAATGTCGCACTACCATACAAATTTAAAAAGCGTGTGATATAATCTGTAAATCAGTTTCTGCTCAGCTTCATAAAAAAATAGATCTTATTCATACACTACATAGTTATCAGTTTTGCGTGCAGATATAGCATTTGTTTTAATGCTAGACAAACTGTCAACCTGAGATTTAAAATGATTAATGATCTGTGAAAAGCTGTGTACAAAGATTTATAAATAAACGCCGAAGTAAGGTTCCGTATATATCAATAGTGGACAGGACAATTATTATCGGGTTTTAGTTTTAATAATTAATTGAAATTTCAATTTGTTCTTGGTTCTGGGACTATCTGCATAAGTTATTACAAGAAAAGTCGATTGCGTACTGAACTAAGATTTCAGTTACGTTAGTCTGACTGTAAAGTATTTGAAGTATCAAATTTTATACTTCCGTATGCTGTTTGTTATACGATTTCATAAAAACATCACTTATATATCATGACTAATTGGAAAAAAATAAATTACGTTTAGAAGTAATAAATAACCAAAATTGACACAAAAACGCGCTATTTGTAAAACACTGAAATTTAATCAAAGATCAAAACTCTGTACGAAACCTATTAAAGAATTATAAAAGGAATATTTTTAAAAGTTTAAGATACATAAAAAAAACATGATGAAATAATAAAAAACTTGACCTTAAAATTAAAAATTTAAACTTCAGAAGTCAACGCATCAAAATTAAAACGCAAAGCGCCTCAAAAAGACCTAGTCTAACCCTACCTCGGAGAAAAAATTATTATAGCGAATAATACCCATCAGAACCTTGAGTGACTTTAATACTTTTCGTTGTCAAAATTATCTTGATCGATAACGCATTCTTCCGATACGTTTGTTCGACAAAAATCGTTATTTTAACATAACACGTTATTTTGTCCGTACTTTTATATCATTGGATGGATAACATTGATTATCTAGCACTTCTTTAGTTGCGTCAGAGAATAAATCTATATCTTATACCTATTTTTGCTATATAATAATCGCATGTAATTATTATTGTCTTATTTTTTTTTATTTTGTTTAACTTTTTTTATATAAAACGCCAATTTAATATGTAAGGTAGTTGAGATTTGATCAATACAACGAAAACTACATACCTAATGTATTCGAAAATTAGTTAAACTGAAATCTATTGTATGAAGTTGAATTTTTATGACATAAAATACTATTTTCAGCTATTGTCCGTCAGATGTCGCGATTATTTAATTCAAAATATCTTTATTCAAATAGACCTAAAACCTTATCCCTTAATATGCGTTGAATCTTTAATGATTATTGAGAGGGTTTGCTATTTCTACGTCTTAGTCAACACATAATTAGTATGATGATGGAGAGATATCTTATACTGCATCGAATCTTGCAACGAATCTTCTCCAAAATACGAGTAGGCCACCATTCAATAGCGACCAAACGCGATTCACGATGAAATTTTTAAAATCACGTTAACGGTGGTAGAGCTGTTGCACGAATGGGCAGCTCCGTTCGGGTAAGTACAACGACCTCACAGAAGACCGGCGTAAAGTAGATGTGTTACACTTCTGCGTTTTTTTCCGGTGAGTGAGGTAGCCGGGGCCCACTTTATTTAAAGGTGGCAATGCATTTGCAATCCTACGGGTGTTGCAAATGTCCATGGGCGGCGGTTGTCATTTAATATCAGGTGAACCGTGAGCTCGTTTTCCAATTTATCACATAAAAAATCACGTTTTTTAACCAAGACACCTACGTAAGTAAGATATGTAATATATATGTGAATATAAAAAAAGTCAAAAGTAAAGGCACAGCCTATAAATGTCCCACTGCTTCGCAAACGTCTCCTCTGTACAGAGGATATTAGGGCACAGTCCACCACACGGCCCCACTGCGGATTGGCGGACTTCACATATATTCGAAATATTTTTTTTTATTATTATTTCGAAAGGTTTGCAGGTTTCCTCACGGTGTTTCAATAATGAAAGTTTCCTCACGATTTTTTGATAAGACAGCACTTAAAATTAGGAATTTCAGTGGTGTCGGCACCGAGGATCGAACTCAGGTTGCTCGAGTATATTGGATTAAAAGCGAATGTCCAGGCGCACGCTTTGAATGTACTCGAGCAACCAGAGTGAATATAAAATTTGATCCAAATCCAACAGTCGTTTCCGTGACAGTTTACAGAATATTTATAAAAAAAATATCGTCCTCTGCAAAATGTTATAATATAATTATCATTACCGGATGAGAATAATGAGATTCGATGAATTACTTATTATAATGGACAACAAAGAATATAGA